AAAATATTTTTAAAAAACAAAAAGAAGGACTTTTTAGTAACCCTTTGTTACTGATTTCTAGGTTGACTGCAGTTAGTGTCAGCAATATGCTTTGCATAATTTCAATGTTTTGAAGTTTGTTGAAACTTGCTTTACAGTACAATATAGTGTTCCAAGTGTCCCTCTCTTCTGCCATCTGGTGTTCACGTTGGGAAAACACCTTGGTGCAGATCAGAAGGAAATGTTGGGTATAGTGGGTCATCCCTAAATGTTGAATCAAATTTTGCTGCTCATGTTAGGTTTATTTAAATTTTTTAAAATTTATTGTTCGAGAGGGGGGAGGGAATGGAGAAAGACAGGGAGAGAAACATCAATGTGTGTAAGAGATACATCAACCAGTTGTCTCTCACACACCCCAAACTGAGAATCTGGCCTGCAACACAGCCATGTGCCTTCACTGGGAATCCAACTGTGGTCGTTTGGTTGAGAAGCCTGTGTGCTCAGTCTACTGATCCACAACAGCCAGGGGTCATGTGAAGTTTTTTTATATCTCTACACGGTTATTTTTGGGGGGGGGGAGTAAATAAAGCTGCAGGTTTAACTCCTGGTCAAGCCACATTCAAGACTCAAGCAATGGCTCTGACTGGTGTGGCTCAGTGGGCTGGGCATCTGCCTGCAAACCAAAAGGTCACCAGTTCCATTCCCAGTCAGAGCACTTACCTGGGTTTGAGGCAGGAGATGGTCAGGAGGAATCTTTGGGGGTGCTCTAGGGCTAAGAGAAAGGACATCGATACAGGACAGAGACCCTGTTCTAAGACCAGTTGTTCCTGCTTTCTGGAAAAGCACTGAATCATGACGAATCATAACTACACCTGCACAGAAGATGCTACATGACCCCTGCTTCATTATAAGAAATCAGCCTTGTGGGACCCGCTTCCCTGGTGGTCAGTCAAGGAAGATCATGGGAGACCACATGTGCAGTAGCTGTAAAGTAATAGAACTACTTGTACATGGGCAATATATCCCTGCCAAAAGTAGCCAAGAAGTATCACCCTGTAAGTATAGAATCCCTCCAGCTCCTGAGATCAATCTGTTTGAAGTCATCCTACTCCCATGTTCTGTGCAGTGTACTATCACTTAATAAATCTGTTCTCCATCTGTCTGCTATAAACTCTCTGTGTTCTGTTCAATTCTTTGTTTGCTATCATCGAGAACCTGGTTACCTGTGCCCACTTGTGACAGGCTGTGGGCCAGGTCACCAGTTGGGAGCATATGAGAGGCAAAGGATAGATGTTCCAAATGAAAAATAAGTCAATAAATTAAAAAAACTAAACAAAACACAATTTCTATATGGATCTGTATATATTAATGGACCCTGTATTCTTTCCCATCAATCTGTCTATTCATGAGGCATTAAACCACTGTTGTACTTACTGTAGCTTTGTAATACAGTACGACTTTTACTTCTTCCTTCTTTTAAAAGGTAAACTGAAACTGAGCTTGTTTTACTTTAAAAAAATTTGCTGCGCCCTGGCCAATGTGGCTCAGTCTGCTGGAGCATTGTCCTGTAAGGTAGGAAAGACAGCAAACTAAGGAAAGGAGGAGGGAGACATGTCTGATCCCCTGACTCAGCCGTCCTGAGCTGGACTTGATAATAGTGCCAGGTGTTCAGAATATCACAAGAAACACATGGTAGCACAGGAGGAGGGAATTCTATGTACTGTTCCCACTGTCTGGGAAGGAAAGCCTTGAAATTAAACTGTGTTAATTCCAAGGTCTGGGTGGTAGGCGGGAGAGTGTCCACAGTGCCCAAAGAAGAAGCCCACAAGGTAACTTTGGTTACTTGCCTACTTCTGGTCACCATCTGTTTCACAAGGGAGTACCTAATGTTTACAGAAAGCCCATAAATAATTTATAATGTTGGGTAAATGCCCAAGCTTGAACTGGCTCCTGTCACGTATTTGTTTTACAAGAGGAACAAATGGGGTCTGGGGAGAGATAAGGATGCAGGCTAACAGACCCTCACACATACCTGCATTTGGGTAGTCACTTCCCCCATGGAAGCTGGCACCACCTTTACCCACCAGTTAATATGTCACTTCTCCACCCCAATCCTGCCAACTACCTGATTCCTCAGGACCAAGGGCCCGAGGCTCTTGCCACCCTTGCCCTTGCCTGTTGCCACTCTTACCTTCCCTTGCCCAGAGTCTATGCCTCTTACCCCCACCTCAGCAAGGCCCATCCTCTTCCATGAGAATGTATCACTAGTAAACCCTGCTAGCTCACTAATAGACTGGCTGATCTGTAATTCTTTACTGCACCAGCAAAGAGAACTGAATTTCTCCCATAAAAATTCCATAAATTGAAAGGTTGTAGTTCAAGCTCTAGTCAGGGCACAGGCCTAGGTTTCGGGTTTGATGCCCAGTGGGGAGACAACCCTGTGATGTTTTTCTTTCATATCAATGTTTCTCTCCTTCCCTTCCCTTCTCTCTGAAATCAATAAGCATGCCCTCAGGTGAGGAATAAAAATTTTTTTTGCTGATATTTTAAGGCAGAGCATATTATATTTATAGGTAACCATGGGAAATGGAGATCATTATATATTTTTCTCTCCAAGAACATGCTGTTACTTTCCTGTTGTTCAGGTGTCTTTCTGAAAAAAAGATTTTACTTACTTTAGACAGAGGATGGGAAGGGGAAAGAGAGAAAAAACAAAACATCTATTAGTTGCATCTCACATGCCCCCAGCTGGGGACTGAACCTTCAACTCAGGCACATGCCCGGATTGATAATCGAGCTGGTGAACTTTAGTCCTGTGGCACGGAGATCATCCTTTCAGGTCATGGGGGTGGGTTTCCCACTTTGGTGAACCCACTGCAGCAGGAATGGGGTGGGTCATGGGTAGGTCTCCCTCATGCAGGAGAGGGTATGATGGGGTCCTCACTGAATGTTTGACATCTCTGTGTATTGAACTCAGCCCTGGTTCTTAGAAAAGTGTGGCCTCTGGGAGCTGTTGGCACCCTTCCTTAACCCTAATCCTGTTCTCACCTTGAGTCTTGTTGGTCTCCCACCCATTGGGTCGATGGGAATTTTGTGCTCCTGGGCCATTGTGGACATTATCTGGGAATGGGTGGCCAGGAATGACCAACATTGTGCATGTCTATTATCCCATCAGACTTCACAAACAAGTTCAAAGATACAATAAGTAATAATTTTGAGATGGTGTCAGTGGTGCATTAAACTCTGTGGGGCCCAGGCACAAGGAGGGTGCATTACAGAACCTGCTGTGTTGCAGGCTTCATGAATGCCATGTGCAGATTGGGTGCACCTGTCACAGGAGAAACTCAGTTCCTGCCAACACAGTAACGGATCACAGGTCATCAAGTGTATTGCCATGCAAGCAGGGTTTATTAGTGACACATTCTCATGGGAGAGGACAGGTCTTGCTGAGGTGGGGGTGAAAGGTAAGAGCACCAGGCCCTTTGTCCTGAGGACTTATATAGTTGGTGGGTAAAAGTGGTGCCAGCTTCCTAGGGGATGGACTACCCAAACACAGGTATGTGTGGGGGTCATTAGCCTGAATCCTTATCTTGCTTCTGACCCCACTTGGTCATCTTGTAAAATAGATCCATGACAGGAGACAGTTTAAGTTGAGGCAGTTACCCAAAGCTAACAATGGGCTCTTTCTATAAGCACTAGAGACCCTCTCATAAAAGACAGTGGACAGAGGTAAGGAATTAACCAGATTTGTTTTAAGGATCTTTCCAGGAGTGCTGTAGACCCCCTTCCATCTTCTAGGCCTTGGGATGAATACAGTTTGAAAGCCTTTCTTTCCCAGATAGTGGAAACAATACCTAGAATTTCAACATGTTAGCATGGTGTTTCTTGTGACGATGGAACATCTGACAATGGAATTGGACCAGGCGCAGGACTGCTGAGTCATTGGGTGACACCCATCTTCCTCATCCTCCCTGCCTTGGCTCACCATCTACCCTAACACCCCAGTGCAGGCAGGTGCTGTTCCCAGTGTCAGTTCTCAGCAAGGGGTGGGTGAGGGTCTTGTTTCACAGTTCACTCTCAGCACCACCTGTCTGTGCTGAGGAGGCTCTGAGGATGCCCAGGCTCAGTGAGAGGGTGGAGATCAGGGGGAGGCACCTCCCCAACCTCAGGCTTCCTTCTCAGGGCAGCTCAGTCTGTGTGGGGAAAGCAGTGGGATCTGCTCAAATTCTGAATTTGGTTAAAAATCCTTGTCCTAATCTTCCTTTGTCCACCACTAAAGACCAGGAAGACATGGGCACTGAAGGCTGTTCAGTAGGGCTTGCGATGTCAGCGATCCTCTTGCTAGATTCTGTCTGTGCTGACTCAACTTTAAATGTCAAACCAAAAGGCTGGAGTTCCTATTTCCATTGCACAGACTAGGAAGCAGGCAGAGAGAAGTTGAGAATCTTGCCTTAGGTCACACTGCTGGAGGAGACAGAGCTGAGACTCACACCAAGTATGGACTGATGTGGAATCTGTATGCTGTGCACTAGGAAATACCCTTAAAAGGGAGCAAGGAGAGTGAGGAAGACCAAGTGCCCAGACTGAGCAGCTCATGTCCATGCACAAGCATCCATCTCTCCCTGCCATTCATCTCTGAGACTCCAGAGGTTGTAGGAAAGCGGAAGAGCCAAGAGAAGGCAAGGGAGAAGTATGGAGCTGATTAGGAGAAAAGGCCCTTTCCAGGAGACTGGGGAATTACCTTCCCGGGTGAGTCTGTCTCAAATCCCTCTCTTTCTGGAGTAACGAAAGTAGACTGATTCCACATTTACACATTTGTCAGAGTTGAATTTCTGTGGCTGAGAGTATGAGTTCTTTGTGGATCTTTAGGAATCCTCTGCTTTCAGTGATGGGGAAAATGAGAGATGTGTATGGAGACAAAACATTTTAGAATAGGTCAAAAAACCATGAACGAGTTTGGTGCTGACATCCCCATATCACTATGGAACTGTTTGTCCATTTCATGTTTCGTAATGAAATTTGAGGGTTTGTTTAACCAGTTACTTCTATACTAATTACAATCTTGGGGAGAGTAAGGGGCTGTGGACTTCCTATGGCTATTGATATGTGACTTAATGCTAATGACTTACTCACTCCACCTGCAAACATAGAGCTTCTCCCCAGAGTGTGTCCTCTGGTGTGTGATGAGATTTGACTGCTGTGTAAAGCCTCGCCCGCACTCCCTGCAAACATAGGGCTTCTCCCCAGAGTGTGTCCTCTGGTGTGTGATGAGATTTGACTGCTGTGTAAAGCCTCGCCCGCACTCCCTGCAAACATAGGGCTTCTCCCCAGAGTGTGTCCTCTGGTGTGTGATGAGATTTGACTGCTGTGTAAAGCCTTGCCCGCACTCCCTGCAAACATAGGGCTTCTCCCCAGAGTGTGTCCTCTGGTGTGTGATGAGATTTGACTGCTGTGTAAAGCCTCGCCCGCACTCCCTGCAAACATAGGGCTTCTCCCCAGAGTGTGTCCTCTGGTGTGTGATGAGATTTGACTGCTGTGTAAAGCCTCGCCCGCACTCCCTGCAAACATAGGGCTTCTCCCCAGAGTGTGTCCTCTGGTGTGTGATGAGATTTGACTGCTGTGTAAAGCCTCGCCCGCACTCCCTGCAAACATAGGGCTTCTCCCCAGAGTGTGTCCTCTGGTGTGTGATGAGATTTGACTGCTGTGTAAAGCCTCGCCCGCACTCCCTGCAAACATAGGGCTTCTCCCCAGAGTGTGTCCTCTGGTGTGTGATGAGATCTGACTGCTGTGTAAAGCCTCGCCCGCATTCCCTGCAAACATAGGGCTTCTCCCCAGAGTGTGTCCTCTGGTGTGTGATGAGATTTTTCTTGCATGTAAAGCCTCGCCCGCACTCCCTGCAAACATAGGGCTTCTCCCCAGAGTGTGTCCTCTGGTGTGTGATGAGATTTCTCTTGCATGCAAAGCCTCGCCCGCACTCCCTGCAAACATAGGGCTTCTTTGCATACTGTGTCACCTTATGTGTGATGAGATGTGACCTATCATTAATGCCTTGCCAACACCCTCCATGCTCGATTGTTATAATTTTGGACATTCCTCCTTTCACAAAGAACTTGCCTGTGTCCTCTGGATTCTCTTTCTTGCCTCTCCGGGGTTCTTCTTCCATCATTCTCTCATGTTCACTAGAGCTCATTTGTTCTTTGGAAGGTTGGAAAAAGGGTTTTGAGATTCTCCTTTGACTGATCCTTTTAAGCAAATGTTTGGACCTTTCTTTGACCTCTTGACCTTCAGCTGTATCATTCCAGCTGTGCGTACTAGTATGTTGCTGCTGCTGATTCTGATCCTCTGGACAGGGTTCCTCTGCTTGGAGCTGTTTTCTTGCAGATGTTCCTGGGAGAATCTGAGAGGGATGACTGAGTTTCACGTGTTGGCTGAGGAATTTCTGACTGGAGAAGGCCAGAGAACAGGAGGGACATGGGTGCACCTCTGGCTTTGGTTCTGCTGAAAGAGAAAGGTTTGGTCAGGGCAGATGTTGACGACAATGCCTGGGCTGTACGATTAGTCTCCTGGTAAGACCTGCCCCATGAGTCCTTCTTACTGTGGTGATAACGCAACATCTGTCTCCCAGTGTCCACTTGCCGTCTATTTTCCTGTTTGTTTTTATGCAGTGCATCTTCCTCAGAATCCAGAAAGCCCACATTAAGGGTCTTTTCTAATATTGCCCAGACTAGGGACTTTTGGAGCATGAGAGGGTATTTTACTCCCTGTGTGGATCAAACTGCAGTGACCTTTCCCATCTGTAGGTATTTTCCAAGTCACGTTAAAGAGGAAAACCACAGGCTCCAACTAGGAATTGCTTCTGTTTTCCAAAATAGTAAAATGAAATGTCCTTCCTCAGGCCTCACATCAAATGTTTATTTATGCTTTATCTATTTAGTGTTAGACCATTTCAAATACACAAAGAAGACCTGTTTCAAAATACTTCAACTACATTTCTTACACGCCTGACTCCTGGTCCTGTCTAGCCAGGCCACCATGCTCTGTCACTTGGAGATGAAGTAATATGAGGGGATTCCCCACTGGGGTTTATTTTCTAAAAATTAGCAAAACATAATGAGAATAGAGAACACACCACTGTACAGCTGACAACTGCACACTTTCACTCAGGAAAGTCCCCAGTGTCTCAACTTGGGTCAAGGGCACTGCATTTCTGGGCTGCTAAAGCATCTGTCTGATCTCCTTTCTTACCCTCTATGCTGAGATGAGACCTGAGTGACCCTCAGCCAATTCAACGCCGCACCTATTTTCTTCCCTGCACTAGCTGCTCCCTCTGCCTGGGATCCTCTGCCCGCAGGTATTTTTGTAAATGTTGTTTCCTGAGGGGCCCTTCCCGGATCACCAGCCACAGCCCACCTTCCCTCGCACTGATCCCCAGGCACTTGTACTGGATTAGTTTTCTCCAAAGCACTAACCGCTGTGTGGTGTTATGCACACACAAGCACGTGTGCCTGGGTTTCCCTCCTTCACCCGTCAGCTCCTCAAGAGCAGTGATTCTGATCCTCACATTAATCTGTATTTCCAGGTCCCAGGACACTGTGTGCCACAGAGTAGCATCTGTCATGATAATTCACTGAAATGATGAACCAATGTGCCCTGTCTCAATGGTGTGGCTTGGTGGGTCGGGTGTTGCCTAAAAAACTGAAAGGTTACAAGTTGGACTCCAGTTGGGCACATGCCAGGGTTGTGCGCCAGTTGGGGGTGTGCCAGAGACAACCGGTTAATGTTTCCCTTGCACATTGATTTTTCTTTCTCCCTCCTTTCCACTCTCTGTAAAAATTAATAAAATCTTGTTTAAAAATTTTTGATTTATGTATTTATTTATTTTCAGAAAAGGGGGAAGGGAGGGAGGGAGAGGCAGAGAAACATCAATGTGTGGTTGCCTCTCACATGCCCCGTACTGGGGACCTGGCCCAAAGCCCAGGCATGTGCCCCAACTGGAAATCAAACTGGTGACCCTTTAGTTCACAGGCCGGTGCTCCATCCTCTAAGCCACACCAGCCAGGACAAAATCTTAAAGAAATAATGAATGCCTACAAACAAAAATGTTTTATTTAGAAGTATGGAGAAAAATTAAGAAGAAAGAGCTATAAAAGTGTCAGAAAAACTGCCTTGGTGGGAGAACTGGTTAGTGCTTGAAAATTTTTGTTTCGCCCTTCAGTCTTTCAGCACTACATGCAGTTGTGTGTTTTGTTCATGAATTTTTTAACAATAAATATAAAAATTTTGCCTAAGAGTGAAAGGCATATGAATTGTGAATTTCTGAAGCATCTGAGTTGAAACTTTACTGACTTTAGAGTGGATTTTAGTCCATTTAAGAGTTGGGTCATGAATATTTCTATGGAGAATTCTCTCTTTTCCTTCTGTTTTGAAGAACAGCGGTACCCACCTCTCCCAGCCACGGGCTCTCTTTTCCACTTGCTGCCCCACTTGCTGCCCAGCTCCTGGCCATACTCGTCCCTGCACCAGACCAGCAGCTCACAGCCTGGCCTGACAACTCGGCAGGTTCGGTAGAAAATCTGCCTGTGATATTGAAAGGCCACCAGGTTCTGCTCTTCATCATCCCGGGCACAGTTCACAAACCTGGGATTAAGGAAGATGAAGGGAAAGAAAACCATGGTGATGAATACTCAGTACCTGTTACATCCATGTGCAGCCCTTCACTGATTCTTAAGGCCCTCAGGCTCTGGTGTTGCCCACGGCCCCTAATGCTCCAGGGGAATCTTCGCTCAATGTCTGAGCGTCTGCCAGCATGTCATGTGAATTCCTACCTCCAAGTACTGCTGGCAGTGTTTATCCTGCCTAATACCATTTTCTTTCTTTTTTTTTTTTTATAATTATTTTTAAAAATATTTATTTATCTTTAGAGGGGAAGGAGAGAGAGAGAAACATCAATGTATGGTTGCCTCTAGTGCATCCCCTGCTGGGAATTGGCATGCAGGGAACTGGCTTGCAACCCAGGCATGTGCCCTGACTGGGAATTGAACTGTGATCCTCTGGTTCACAGACCTGCGCTCAACCCACTGAGCTATACCAGCCAGGGCCTATCCTGCCTAATACCATTTTCTAAAACCCAGTTCTAGACTTAACTTTCACACTGACTGGCTATAATATCCAGTGATCTCTGGCTTCTCCAAACTCTAAATCAAGTTGTCTCACACCACAGAACCTGGTGCTTGATCTAGGGCTCTGCTTCTAAATCAGCTCACTAATGATCCAGTACTCAGTCCACATCTGTTTTCTCTTGGGAGGCCTTTTTCCATCCCCCCTACACTTTATGTAGGAGACCATTCACTTGCCTGCCCAAGGTTACTATAGAAAATTGAATGTCTTTTGTCTTGTTAGAATAAAACAGAACAATAGTAGAATAGAACAACAGAACAGAATGATTCACATTCTGTTAACCCTGATAAAAGAGAGCCCCTCTCAGGAAAAGGGCCCATGACCGTTCCTCTGTGGGCCTCAGAGCCCAGTTCTAGTTTGGAATCAGGCTGGGATGGTTTGCTGCCCTTACATGTTTAGGCTACCATTGGTTTGTACTATCTTGACACTGTGCACTTCCCAGAAATTATACTTAAATGTTTCTAAAATTAATTGTTTTATGTCCGTCTGTGAGAAGTCCTCCATAAGGACATGGGTTGTGTGATCTGTTTAAGGAATGAATTCCTTCACCTAATCTAGAATATAGTAAGTGCTTAATTAATGTTCATGTGATAAAGTGTAATCCAGTGTCCCTGGTGAATCTAGGCTCTTCAAGGTCCTTTCCAGTGTCCACATTGTGTCTAGTAGAGATCTTTATATTTTGAGGACATATGTTACACTTTTTCCTAAATGTCCCCTGAAATAAAAGAACACTGTATGGAGAAAAAGAGGAAAAAAGGATGAAGGGAGACCACTGAGGGAGGTGTGATGAGAGAGAAAGATATATGGGCCTGTGGGGGATGAGAGTCCCCTCTGGCACCCAGAGACCTGGTGCCCTCACCTCATCCAGTTGGCCCAGGATCTGTCCTTTCCACCCACATACTCATAGCAGTTTCTCCCTTTGGCGATCTGTGTTTCAGAAAAGAAGGTAAAGATCTGTTATTCTTTTTTGTGGGGAGGTAATAGTCAGGAGAATTATTTTACTCTACTGTCATCAGACCTCTTTCCGCCTGCATGGGGATTCAACTGCCAGTTGTGACCACATGATGTTTTTCTTGCTCATCACCTACACAGCCGAGTCTACCTGTCCAATCAGAGCAGGAGCCCCACAAGAGAGGAGCCACTCCTTTGTGTCTGTACCACTTTGCTCCCACTTACCTTCTGATCCTTCAACAGGAGCTCTGTGTCCATGTGAAGTCCAGTCACTACACAGAGCTGACCACATTGTCCCCTCCATGTCTAGTACATAAGAGGAGAGGTCCCCCCAGGCCTCAAGGAATGTGGGAAGCCAGAGGACAGTGGAAGAGGTAAATAGTTCTCACCAGCCAGGAGTATCTGCTCTTGGCTGCCTCTTCATCTTCTGTGATGTGTCCTTCATAAGGGCCAAAGTGCAGACCCACGGGCAAATCAGCTGCCTCATTCCACACTCCAAGCCCAGCCTCAGGGATGCCCGATGGCCCGATTCTCAACCCAGGGGGCAGGGTGAGGGCTGAGCGGTGGGGATGCCCCTTGTCCACTGCACTGTCCTTTACAAATGTAGGGGGCCCATGCATAGCACAGCTGTCGATGAAGAAGTTCTGACACTTCTCACAATCTGGAGGCGAGAGCAACACAGGTTAGGGAAGGTGTAGCGTATGTTCCTGGACACAAAGACCTTCACAGGGAGTTCCACAGTCACATCATTGAGACTCAATCCTGTACTCCAGGTCACTAGAGGAAGGGAATGATTTGGGGACCAAAGGAGTAGATGAAATTATTGTATTATAACATGCTTCTTAGTGAGGGTCACTTACAAAGGTAGTCATCATCCTGGGGTTCGTTGACCTCTTGGTGCACATGGCCCTTTCTTTCTCGTAGGCTGTACATCTTCACGTCCATCTCCTTTCTCCTGGGTTCTAAGTTGGAGAAGAGCAGGTGAGTGAGGTTGTGGGGTCTGGAGTGTTAGTTCCCATTTTGTCAGAAAACACAATCTCCTCTCATCAAATGACCACCTGTCCTTTTGCACACCCTGGTATTTTACTCTGTTAACTATTGGTTCAGAAGACTAAGACTCCATCCACACTAACTACAGATGACTGATTCCATTTTAGTTTCTAGATCTTCCCATTACCAGTTTTAACTTGCCAATGTTTAATCATTCATAAAATATTTATTGAGTGGACATCATGTGTTCGGCATTGTGTAAAGGCCTGGGCACACAACACCAGTACAGTGCGGTTGCTATTATCACAGATGGATTTTTTGGACAGCTTGCATGCGTCAACTGTTTTAAATTCAATTTAATGTTTTCAAACAATATATGAGTGATGTTTCCTTATCTTCACTTTACACATTAGCAGGCAGGAGCTCAGAGAATTGATAGGATTTGCCCAAAGCTCCATTGCTAACTTCAGTCTCAGCTTAGCCCAGCTTAAATCCAGGCCCATCCAAAGTCCTCCCCACATACCTAGGTCATACTTATCAGCCCTTCTATAGAACTTAGAGGAATTAAAGTTCCCAAATTATTTTTTCTTACCTGATTTTCGTCTAGTGTGCTTTCCAAAGGCACATGCTTCTCCAGGAGGGGACACTGGTCTCTGGGCCTGCTCTGAGTCACTTGCAGTCCTCAAATTTGCTGTTCCTGACAATTCCTTCAAACTACATTCATTGCTTAATGGCACCTTGGATGTTTCCTTCAATATAAGAGTCACATATTAAAAGATAACATGTATTTAACTATTTAAGGCTTATGATACATTTTACATGCATGTCTCTAATACTTCAACCCTTGGAAATACCTGGGGAGAGTGAGTATCAGAGGGGACGGAGCCAATGTGGGTGATGAATCCAAGATTAGAGATCATGCCTTTCAACTGTGTCTGTAATATTGATAGAATATTGGAAAGAATATTGGGAAGAGAATAAAGAGTTGGCAGAAATATATCTAGACAATAAATTAAATGGTGATAAAATTTACAATACCTTAGAAAGACTCTTTGTACTTAAGATTAGCTGGTTCCAACCAATTCTGTTTGAATAAGGCTGTATCATCAGTAGCTAGTTGTCTTCAGTTTCATGAACTATATAGCATGCTAATTTTCAATGTTATAGTGAATTTGCAATTAAATAATGCTCACCAGTGTTCTGTGAATTGTGTTATACAGTATGAAGTGAGATTACAGTCCTGCTAGCAACTTGCCCCTCAGCTTTCTCCATATTTAAATCTCACAGATATCACCTTCAGCACTCTTCGGTCATCTTATAGTTTAATTTGTAATTGTGAAATCATTCATTCAACAAACATTTGGGGGCCTTCAGGGGTCCTGATCTGGGCCTGTGACCTCTGAGAAATCTCAGTTATGGACCAGGCTCTCAAAGAGCTCACAATGCAGAAGCTCTTTGCAGGCTGAACAAATGATTCTAAATGGGATGAGAGTGGCCTCATTAGAAGAACTGAGAGAAAGAAGCTGTTACTTCCCCGTATAAGAAAAGGGCATTTGAAATCAGTTCCAGATGGATGAGTTTCTATAGAAGAGTATGTAACTTATATGAAGTCCTTTGTAGGAGACAATTCTACGTGGCGTGGGCCCAGCCCCCAGTGGCAAACATTTACCGCAAAGTAACTTCCTCAAATCCTTGCTAAACCTTCCAAGGATGAGGGTAACCTGTTCAAGCACTTTTGCCTTTTCATTTGCAAATATCCCTCTTTGGTGATGTGTTTAGCTTCTTTGTTCTCTATAAAAGGTAACCACCTAAACCAACCTGTGCATAGTAAATAAAGACCATCATGTAATGTGCTGAGAAACCCAATAAAGTTGCTACCCTTGAGAGAAAAGCCATGCTGTCACTTTTCCCCCACTGGACTCGGTAGTCCCTGTGAATATCTCATTTCATCCATAATGACGTGGACACTGCAGGCCGGTGTGTGCATCAGTCCTTAAGTCATTTCATTATTTGTTGTTTCTCAATCATCAAACCTGAAGCTCCTCAGGGGTGGGAGATGCTCTTTATTAGAGTGGGAGGCTGTGATCCTGGACATTTTACATTCTTCTTCTTCTGGGACCATCCACTGTACAAACTGCCTGTGCATTGTACGCTTTCCTTACTCAGAGGGTCTTAGTGCATCTCTCACTTCAGCATAGCAGAGAACTTTGGTTGAAACAGTCCGATGAATGATGTAATGACATATGGATGAGACAATGTAAACTTTACAAAACTATGAAAGTTTATTTATCTAATTTTTAAAAAAGACTTTGCTTTTTTTCTTGAGAGAGAGGAAGAGAAGGAGAGAGAGAAACATTGATCAGTAGCCTTTCACACGCGCCCAAACCAGGAAACTGGCACACAACCCAGGTATGCGCCCTGACCAGGAATCAAACCAACAATCTTTTGCTTTGCAGGATGACACCCAACTAACTGGTCATGGTGGCCAGAGCAAAACTCTGAAAGTTTTTTTTTTTTTTAAAGATTGATTTATTTATTTATCTTTAGAGGAGAAGGGAAGGAGAGAGGGAGAGAAACATCAATGTATGGTTGCGTTTGTGCGTCCCCTGCTGGGAAGTGGCCTGCAGGGAACCTGCCTGCAACCTGGGCATGTGCCCTGACTGGGAATAGAACCGTGATTATCTGGTTCGCAGGCCCGCGCTCAATCCACTGAGCTACACCAGCCAGGGCAAAACTCTGAAAGTTTTAATGAGTTCGTAAGTGGTTTGGAGAAGCAACTATGGGTTAGATTGCACTACCCCTGATACTGTGATCTTAGAAATATAGTAGTCAAACTTTTCTGTATCTCTGAAAGCTCACTTTCCTGATCATAAATGGTGACAGTTATAGTACGTACCTCACTGGGGTGTTGTAATGTTTAAGTGAGTTTATTCATATAGAATTTTTAAAGTCTGAAACATTGTAAGAATGAAACAAATGGTACTCACTACTGTTGCTGTAGTTGTTAACTATTAAGATGATGATGAGCCCTGGCTGGTTGGCTCAGTGGATTGCGTGCTGGCCTGCAGAGTGAAAGGTCACCAGTTCCATTCCTGGTCAGGGCACATGCCTGGGTTGCGGTTCAGGTTCCCTACTTGGGGGTGGGTGAGTGGCAACCCATACAGGTGTGTCTTGCACATGCTTCTCTCCTCACTTTCTCCCTTTTTTCCCTTCTCTCTAAATATCAATAAATAAAATCTTTTTAAAAAGATGGTAAAATTGAACAATGTGTTGAAGAGATCAGGAAAGGCAGCAGTTCCTAGGATACTTTCAGCATTTTCCTACTCTTATCTGCGTTTCTATCCATGGGGAAAATTTTCTTGTCAACAGGATTTGGGAAATACTCACCTTCTTAGGTTTACTCTGTTCCCTTCTGAAGGCCACCCAAGAAGGTTTCACTGAAAGATGATGAGAAATCAGTGTTTTCGTTGGTAAATGTTTCCAAAATCTAAAGATTCTTATTAGGGACACAGACTTCTGAAACAGTAGTCTAAGAACAATCCCAGGATGACTGAAAAATGTTTTCTGAGGTTTCATTAAGGCCTATGTTTCTATTGGGGCCACCCACTAATTTCATTTGAATGATAAAAAAAATAGACAAAGTGTTATCTATGCTTCACCCTATGTTCATAAAGTACCTATTATCATTTATTAAAAAATAAATTGGCCTCTCCTGACAAAAATGTAGTGAAAGTAACTGCACAGAAACTCCATGTCTTCAACATAACCCTTTCTCCGTCCTGTTTTCTGCATTTGAACTGGCCTTGTCTGGACTAAGGGCACCACGACCACCTCGCCTCCTTTCTCTGGTATCCTCCCCCCTGTGCACATACTGGCCATCCACGCCCTTCCTTATCATTAGATTCTGGTCAGCACCCACAGTCTGATGACCACAGAAACAGAATTCCAGTCAAGTTAAAGATCACATCCTGACTTCAGCTGTGTTTCAATCCCAGACGCATGAAAATGGACTGACTCTACCCACTGAACACTCATGATTCTGGACAGAACAGCACCATGGCCAACATCAGGAAATGATACAGTGATCAATCACTCCTGACCTTGGCCATCCCCAGCTCCCATAATCACTATGGTTAATACTGTTCCCGTCTGTCTCCATGCAGGCCATCATGCAGCCAGCTGTGGGGACACTCCTCACCTGTCAGACCTGCCTCCCTCTCTTGCGATGACAACTATTCTGAACTAGTTATTTCTTATTCACTTGTATGTTCTTATACATGTACTGCTTATTAGTGTATCTATAAATATATATGATTATGTTTCACATTTGAAAGTTTACAGGAATATTCCCTGATTGTATGATACACTGTTCTGCATCCTGCTTGTTCACTGGACCAGCAAACACGTCCCCTGGTTAACTGCTGAGATGCAGCCTGACCTAAACCAGGTCTGTGTCGGGAGGGCAGCTCTAGCTCCTCCTGCCCCTCACCTTGCTGCCTTGGAGTCCATTCTTCATCCGAGTCCTCAGGGTCCTCCTCCTGGAGCTCAGTGGCCCGCCTGTGGTGACACATGAAAGCTGGTCGAGGGGCTTTGAGACCTGGAAAGAGACAAAACCTTTGTCCTGAAAGCAAAGAGCCTGGAGGAGCAAAAAGCACCAGGAAGCCCGTGGGACTGGCCCCGATGGGATGGGAGAGTAAAACGAGTGAGCACGGCACAGTCAGCGCCAGCCCTGCTCTGCCGCTAAGGAGCAAATGCCCCCTGCTTGGTGTCCCTGCAGGAGGGAGCTGCGGGCGGATGGAGCCGCCTGAGTCGGAGCCAGCACAGCAGCCTGTCGGGCCACGGGACTCCTCCTGCTCAAAGCCTGCAGGCTACCTAGGCTGGTGAGCACGTGGAAGTTCCTCTTCACGTTCTGGTACCGGCGTTTCTCCCAGTCTCCCATCGCTGCCCACTCCTCCCTGGAGAAGTAGAGGGAAGCGTCTTCCAAAGCTTCCTCGGCCTGGAGAGGAGTGGAAACACCAGTAAC